ATACCTCTTTGCTCTCATTAAAATGGCAACAATTCTAAACCAATTAATTAAAAATATGCCTATGCTAAATTATTTTTACACTAGCTTTGTATCTAATTAATTGAAGGCAATTAAGTTCCCTTTACGAGACACAGCATTACATTTTCTTCAATTAGCCACTCAGCTTGCACCACTGTCCAAGAGCCTCTTGTTTTGTGGCTGAGTCAGCTTCTAACAATTTCCATGCCCCTCCTTATTCAATCGGTTAATTAACTTTATCAGCATATATTGCAAATTACTGCCACGGCCACGGCACACTGTACAGAGCTTCTTTAATGGGCAAACGCATGCCATTTAAATATATAGCATGTATATATGGGAATTGTGCTTAGAATTTTAAGTGTTACGATTTGGGAGGAGCTTCGTGGCTGGTGCTACATAAATTGCTATTGTTTTATCAATATAATTTTCCAATCTTTGGATTGGCATGCGAAATGTTATCCCTTGTGTATGCCACTGAATCGTATTACTCATACGCCATGTTATGCGGCAGCTGTGTAAACAAATCAACAGACGGAAAACCTATTTACACATGTTCTCTCACGTTCTCTGCCTCAGATACACAAAATCATTGGTTTTGTGCCCACTATTCTGCAAATCGTAATGCAAACTACGCTGGAGCAGCCGGTTAGACAGGCGGGCGCTGTCTATCTAAAGAATCTGATCAATAGCAGCTGGTCGGATCATGAGACTAAGCCCGGTGAGCCCATACCGTTTTCCATCCACGAGCAAGATCGCGCCATGATACGCAGCGCCATTGTGGATGCCATTGTTCATGCTCCAGAGCTGATCAGGTAAGCTGCGATCGCATTTTCGGTATTCAGTTCAATAAAATCTAATCATGATTGTGATGCCCTCTACAGAGTTCAGCTCTCTGTCTGTGTTAATCATATCATAAAGAGCGATTTTCCCGGCCGTTGGCCCCAGGTGGTTGACAACATCAGCATCTACTTGCAAAATCCGGATGTAAATGGCTGGAACGGCGCCCTGGTCACCATGTATCAGCTGGTCAAGACCTACGAATACAAGCGCTTCGAAGAACGCACGCCGCTCAATGAAGCAATGAATTTGCTGTTGCCAATGATTTATCAGCTCATGATGACGTTGCTCAACGATCAGTCAGAGCAATCGGTGCTATTGCAAAAACAAATACTCAAGATTTATTATGCACTAACGCAGTACAGTCTGCCGCTTGATCTCATCACTAAGGAGATTTTCTCGCAGTGGATGGAAATTTGTCGTCAGATAGCTGATCGCGCTGTGCCCGATTGTTCACATCTAGATGACGATGAGCGCACCGAATTCCCCTATTGGAAAACCAAGAAATGGGCACTGCACATTATGGTGCGCATGTTTGAGCGGTAAGTCCACAGAGTTTTATTTTATGTAAGTCTTCGACATATTTGTTTAATATCCATCAATTTATTTGCAGCTATGGCAGTCCCAGCAGTGTTGTTAGTGAAAAGTATCAAAAATTCGCCGAATGGTATCTACCTACCTTCAGTTCTGGCGTCTTGGAGGTGCTGCTTAAAATCCTGGACCAATATCGCAATCGTGTCTATGTATCGCCGCGTGTTCTTACTGATGTGCTGAACTATCTGAAGATTGCGTAAGTTTACTCTATCTAACACATTGCATAATAAGCTAATGTTAGTGAAAGCATGCCACAAATGTTTTAAATTTCATTTTCCCTTTAAGTGTGAGCCACGCCTACACCTGGAAGCTGATCAAACCGCACATGGTGGCTGTTATTCAGGATGTCATATTCCCCATCATGTCATTTACCGACTCGGATCAGGAACTATGGGAGAGCGATCCCTATGAATACATTCGTCTCAAATTTGGTATGCCCTTAACGACATTCCATTCTGTATGCGTTTTTTTAAATCATCCTCTAAATGCTCCATTCAATAGATATCTTTGAGGATTATGCCACGCCCGTGCCAGCTGCTCAGTCGCTACTGCATTCCGTCTGTAAGAAACGTAAGGGCATTCTGCCTAAGGCGATGGCTACCATTATGCAAATAATTACCTCGCCCAATGCGGATAACAAGCAAAAAGATGGTGCACTTCACATGATTGGCACACTTGCCGATGTCTTGCTGAAGAAGACGTTATATCGCGATCAGGTTGAGTCCATGCTGACTACCTATGTGTTTCCGGAATTCCAGAATCCGGCCGGTCATATGCGTGCACGTGCCTGTTGGGTTTTGCACTATTTTTGCGATGTCCAAATCAAGAACCCTCAGGTGCTGGCCGAAACAATGCGCCTGACAACCAACGCCTTGCTGACCGATAAAGAGCTGCCCGTTAAGGTGGAGGCCGCTATTGGCCTTCAAATGTTCCTATCATCTCAGGACGAAGCACCGCAATATGTGGAGTCTCAAATCAAAGAGATTACCAAGGAGCTGTTGACCATAATACGCGAAACTGAAAACGAAGACTTGACAAATGTCATGCAGAAGATTGTGTGCACATTTACGGAGCAACTGTTGCCGGTTGCAACGGAAATTTGTCAGCATTTGGCAACAACATTCAGTCAAGTGCTGGAATCGGAGGAGGGATCTGACGAGAAAGCCATTACGGCCATGGGTCTGCTAAATACGATAGAAACACTGCTCAGCGTTATGGAGGAACATCCGGACGTGCTGCTTAACTTGCATCCAATTGTGATTAACGTAGTGGGTCACATATTCCAGCACAACATTACCGGTAAGTTAGGAACTATACAAATATGTGGGATTGTGGAAATTTATTTTGCGTTTTTTTCGTAGATTTCTATGAGGAAACCTTCTCGCTTGTCTACGATTTAACGTCCAAGTCAATTTCAGCCGAAATGTGGCAAATGCTTGAGCTCATTTATCAGGTTTTCAAAAAGGATGGTGTCGACTATTTCATTGACATTATGCCGGCGCTGCATAACTATGTAACCGTCGATACGCCGGCCTTCCTTTCCAATCCAAACCGTCTCCTGGCCATCCTGGACATGTGCAAAACTGTAAGCTGGACTAAAGAGGTCCTTGCCGTGTTCGGTCTTATTTTATTTGTTTGCTTCTTTTTTTTTTATGTGTAGATGCTGACTAGCAATCCTGGTGAGGATCCCGAATGTCATGCTGCCAAATTGATGGAGGTTATTATACTGCAATGCAAGGGACAAATTGATTCGGTGATACACATGTTTGTGGAGCTGGCCCTGTCGCGTTTGACACGCGAGGTGCAGTCATCCGAGCTGCGCACTATGTGCCTACAGGTGGTTATTGCGGCCCTGTATTACAACCCGCAACTGCTACTGTCCATTCTGGACAAGATGTCGCAGCCAAACAACGAACCAATCAGCTCGCACTTCATCAAACAATGGCTGCATGATACGGACTGTTTCCTTGGGTACGTTAAACTTCTAACTACCTTTAACTGCAAACTAATTAATATATTTATTTAGCATTCATGATCGCAAGCTGTGCGTCTTGGGTCTATGTACTCTAATCTCGCTGGGCGATGCCAAGCCTCAGGTGCTTAGCGAGGTGGCGGGCAAGATTGTGCCATCGCTGATATTGTTGTTCGACGGCCTCAAGCGAGCCTATGAATCGCGTGCACAGGAGGAGGAAGAGGAAGAAGAAGAGGAGGATGGCGATGATTGCGAGGGTAAGAAAAAATTGAAATAACTGAAGTAAAGTGAAGTGGTACTAACGCATCTATTGCTGCCCCACAGAGGCTCTGTCGAGCGATGAAGACGAAATGGATGAGATGGCGCCAAACTATTTGGACAAACTAGCAGACTACACCAAAACGAAAGGCCCTGCTGCCGGCTTTGAGGTGAAAGCTGAACTCAAGGATGACGAGGAAGATTCGGACGATGAAGCAGAGGAATCAGTCGGCGATTTAAATGAAACTGGCCTTGAAACTTTCACCACGCCTATAGACGAGGAGGAGAACGAGAGCGCCATCGACGAATACTGGACGTTTAAGGAAGTTATTACTGGTAAAATAATCTGAGATCTCTAAACTTATGTTGTTACTAATTTCTGTTATTTATTTTAGCACTTTCCGCCCAAGATCAGGCCTGGTACTCGCTGCTAACCTCGAACCTAACGCCCGAACAGGCCAAAGCGCTGCAGGAAGTGGTCGTGACCGCTGATCAGCGCAAGGCGGCCAAAGAATCGAAATTGATTGAGAAGCAGGGCGGATTTGCCTTCCCCCAGACCACCGTGCCCACCTCGTTTAAGTTTGGCTCTTAATTAATGATGGGACACCAACTTAGTACGCTTTTCTTCTGACTTCATTGTTTCTCATATTCTTTCCATTACGAAAACAAAAACGAAAATACCTAGTGGCTGGAACTTGATATGATGGCTATTGAGGCAATCTTTAGATTCTCGTACATCTTTTATGTACACATTTACACATACACGTGTTGCATGCATCGATTCAGCGATGGGTGGGGTGATCGCTTTATATTTATTGTAGATTTATATTTTAAAATTCTATCTTGGCAATTCCATGCCAACTAAATTATAATAACTTAAGTTGAAAGTCTATTGTATATCATTGTATGTAACTATAAACGAAAAACTATTTAGAAGTCGTCTCATGAAATGAGATCGAGCCCAAATAAGCATGGATCATACACACTCCAGCGTAAAATGGTCAGAATGAGAATTCAATGTAGAGCATTTCACTTACATTGTCTACACACACACACACACACACTCGTATATAACGTAATAGACGAAGCGATATTTTTGAAAAATAAAAACATTTTTAACGTTTGAATTAAACTGTTGACCAATGATTTTATTTGACGGAATTTTGGCGATGTCAATTGGTAAACCTTTTAAAGTTGGCCCTCTGTTCCAGTGTTGTGCAACGACACATGGCAAGGCACATGTTGATTTTACATATACACAAGATTGTGGCGGTGCACCGATAACATATACCGTTTTTTGCCATTCACGGATTGTGTTGTGTTTATGCTGCATTTGTTTATATTTTAGGAAACTAAACCAAAAAAGGCGCGAATATGAAAATCGCCATCGAAGGCTGTGCCCACGGCGAACTGGAGCGTATATACGAAACCATACAAGGCATCGAAAAGGAACGCAACATTAAAGTCGATCTGCTTCTCTGCTGCGGTGACTTTCAATCGACGCGAAATGTTACGGATTTGCAAACAATGGCTGTGCCAAGGAAGTACCTGGACATGTGCACATTCTACAAGTGGGTGGCTGAAACTATGACGTGTTGAATACTTAATTAAGTCAAACCCATTACAGATATTACAGCGGTGAGCTCGTAGCGCCCATTCTGACGATATTTATTGGCGGCAATCACGAAGCCTCCAACTATTTACAAGAGCTGCCCTACGGTGGTTGGGTAGCACCAAATATTTACTACCTTGGCTACGCGGGCGTGGTCACTGTAAATGGCATCCGCATTGCGGGCATTAGCGGCATCTACAAAGGCCACGACTTTTTGCGCGGCCACCACGAATTCCCGCCGTATACGGAGAAAACATGTCGCAGCGTCTACCATGTCCGCCAGTTAGAGGTGTTTCGCCTGAAGCAACTTTCCGGCAAAGTGGACATATTCATGTCGCACGACTGGCCCAGGGGCATACAAGAATATGGCAACAAGGCACAACTGCTGCGGTTTAAGCCACATTTTACAGAAGACATAGAAAGTGGGCAGCTGGGCAGTCGTCCGCTCGAGGAACTGTTGAAAGCTGTGCAGCCGACATATTGGTTTGCTGCGCATTTGCATTGCAAATTTGCTGCGCTTGTGCCGCACAATCGAAACTCTAACAAGCCCCTGGATGCGGATGATTCTAGCAGCAGCAGCAGCGATAGCGAGGGTGAAAATGAGGACAAGGATGGGAGCAGCCTACAGCAAGAGCCTGTAGCAGTGCCTGTCACCAAGTTCCTGGCACTAGACAAATGCCTGCCCAAGCGACGCTTCCTACAGGTGTTGGACATACCCACCAGTGAGAGCAATGATGGCAAATTAACGCTGGAATACGACGCCGAATGGCTCTCGATATTGCGCACGACGAATCATCTAATCTCGGTGAAGGATACCAATTACTATTTGCCCGGCAAGAAGGCTGGCAGCATTGAGGAGCGCTGTAATTTTACGCCCACCGCCGAGGAGCTATCACATATACGCAGCAAATTCGAAAGCCTCGAAGTGCCCCAAAACTTTTGTCGCACTGTGCCGGCGTTCGATCCCGACGAGGATCACAACTACAAGCAAATGCACATTGAGCAGGCAAATGCACAGCTGAATCCACAGTGCGTTGAGTTCTGTGCCATCCTGGGCATAGACGATCCGCTTTGCTTGGCCATGCTGGCCAATGGCAAGGATCTTCCACCAACTGGCAGCATACTGGACAGCTCTGCTGAACTCAATCTGAAGCATAGCCCAAAGGAAGTGTCTGTGGACGAGAGCTGCACGTTTCCAGAGCCTTCGGCAACGCCGCCCAAACGTAAACTTAATCTGTCGCTGCCAGCGCCGACTGCAGCAGCAGAGCCTGACAGGAATGTCATTGACCTGCCAGATGAAGTGGACGAAGAGCCGGAGCCTTCTATCAATGATACGGACGATTCAAAAATTGAAGACAGCACTGAAAATATTTCCATTTGTGGTAGTCCCAATCTCAAGAAGCTCAAGAGACGAAATCAAAGCATCTACCAAGCTGAAGATGACGATTGAAATAAAGCTTTATCGACCTGTTTAAAATAAGTTTTGGCTTTCTCTCTCGATGTACTTTGTAGCTAAGTTAATCTTGGTCCAGTGAGTACTCCACTGGATGTTTACATTAAAAAAAGAGGCAATTTTATTTAAATAACACAGAAAATGTTTGAAGCTGCCGCTCCTGGCATGCTGTATGTGATGTTGAGTGGAAATAAATTAAGGTTACATATAAATTTTATAGATACTTCACTGTACATCGGTGACATTGGCGCCGTAAGATTCGGTGGCGCACATAAAGACGCACTGCAGCACAGAATCGGGCGTTTGTGTCCAATCACAGTAATAGCTAGCTGGCGAAGGAATGCACTGCAGCTGCAGCTGGTCACCATCCGACTTGGGGCGATAGAAGCGGCAACGGCGAGGACCATATATCGGCATATTGGCATCGTATGGTGGACTTAGTATATCGAAAAAAGCAGCTATGCCGCTTCCGGCATGCGTTATCTGATGATAGTTACGTTTGCGTGGCGTGAGCAATGCGCTCGATGTCTCGGCTGTCACCAGGCTGGGCTCCTCGGCGGTAACCTTGACCAGCGTGGGATTCATATCATACAATAGCGGCTCATCTGGGGCCAGCTGCTGTGAGTAGCTCTGTACGTGCAATTTGCCCCAGATACAGCGCAGCAGGCCATACATCATGGGATGATCGTGCAACGGAATCGAATTGTTGCCGCGCACTATGAACAAGCTCATGGAGAAGCGTTCGTCCTCGAAGATGTGCATGTAGCTGCAGGGTGCACGGGCGGCATTGGTGACATCGTCGCGAAACAGCTCCTCCTTAATGTGCAGATCCCGATAGGTTAGCTCATCAGTTAGCTGCTTGAGGTGCTGAAGATTGGCATTGAAGCTGGCAAGATTGGCTCGATCGAATGTCTTGAATGCCTGGCGCAGCACGCTCATAAAATGGCTCGTCATGGCCAAAAACTGGCGATTTGTTTCGCGTTATCAGTAATGCACCGGACACGGCCACGAACCTTAACTGACGTCAGGTGTGTTTTTAATGGGTAATTCGACACGAACCCTTGTTAATTGAGCTGCGAAGCAATTGCGGCGACAAAATTTATAGATAAACAAAGCGTCAGCTGTTCGACAGTGTTGGAAAGTGCACAAGCAGCCAGTAGTAAAACAACTGTAAATCCTTAAACTGTATTTAAAACTTTATCAGGTATTCTCTAGCCGACTGTTTTTTCAAATATAAGTAAAGCTTGCAAGTTTTGTGTATTATGTAAAGTATTGATTTCGTACTGCGTCAATTGAACAGTTTTTTTAATTCAAGCCAGCAGAAATAAATTGACTAATTACATAGGTAACAGTTCTTTATGGAGAACAAATGCTCATTAAAAGCCCCTTTCCTTGGATTGTGTGGCATGGGTCAAGATCCAGGATTTGTAGTCACGTTTCTTCATTGCCATTTGCTTGTGGCGCGGGTGCGTTGGACAGATGACATAACTGCGCTCCTGACGCACCACAATGTAGCAATCCTTACAGCGGCGCTTAAGACGTCCCTTCACCTTGAATCCGGCCACTTGTTGTACGAGTGAATTGAACGGCACCAGAAAGGATGTTGTATTTGTTGTGGGCACCAATTGTTGAACAATTGTGCTGTGAGCCGGTGTGCTTGTGGCTATGGCCGTGGAACGCATTAGCATATGAAAGCCTCGTGCGGGGGTGACGCCATTCCAAAGCCGCGCGCTGCACTGCAGTAATTTACTTGCAAATGACATCTGTGAAGTGGTTTTTAATTTATATTTTCTAATAATTACACAAACACGCACCTTGCACCACATTAGGGTTGCCAGAGTTTGAAAGTGAATTGTTGGCCGCGCTGCCAACCATTCACAGTTAATGAACGGATAAATTGAACTAGTTCGCATTAAATAAAATACGTGATTTTTCAAATTATTGAGACACACTTGTTAACTTGTTAGATAATTAGCTGGGAAAGGTGCTTAGGTTTGAATTCATATATATATTTTGCATATTAATTCGCTTTGTATTATTTCTATTTAAAATTGGTCTAACCTGTAAAAATAATAATGGAAATTATAACCGTTCTTTGTTGAAAATCGTTGAATATAAGTTTGATCATAATATTCGTTAATTACATTAAATGCGCGTACGAATAAATCGAAGTTTCTTTAACAAAATGACAACAATCAAAAATAATACAAAACAAATCAAAATATCTGACAAATACACTTCACTAATGTTTCACTTCCGTTGTTAATTCATTAACAAATCCCATGCATCATCCTCGGCGCTTGTTTTGCCAGTCAACGAAGCAGCGGGTTTGGGTTTCACATTTTTCACATCCAGATTGTCGAAACCTTCGCTCAACTTCTGTGAAGTCTCCTGCATCTTCATGCTGCGGCGAACGCTTTGACCACCAGACGGTGTATTTTGATACGATGTCTCCGCATTCTGATAACTTGTTGTATTGAATCCAGCCCAATCGTCGTCTTGGGTAAGCCCGGCACTGGTTTTGCCGATGGCATTGCTGTTAAGCTGATTTTGATATGAGCTGGAGCTGGTCAGATGCGTTTTGTTGTTAGCATTCTCCTGCCAGCCACCCCAGTCACTGTCACTAACGCCGCTCTGCTGGCCCAAGCCGCCGGCCAGGTTCCCACCAACCGATTGGGAGCGTTGATAGCCGTTGTCCTCGAGACTGGGATCGTTGTAGCCGCTCTGAGACGATGTGTTGGTGCCACCTGCCAAATTACTCCAGCCACGCTTGCCAATATCCGTCACCTTGGGTTTTAAATAGACACAGAACAGATTTCAGCAACAATTTTTTCTAACTTTCCGAAAATAAGCGTTTGCATGTGATTACCGACCTTATAGGCCACATCTGTAACCCCACTCTGAACGGTTTCTAGCAAGGTGCCTTCTTTAATCTACAACCAAAACGAAAAGCAAACGAAAACTCAAACAAAATTATACAACAAAATAAGAATAGCAATGGAACAAAGAAAGCCCAGCTGATTTTTCTTATCAACACACCTTGGTCGAAGCCAAATTGACTGTAGTTACGGCTTTTTCCTTGGCAGTGCTTGCCAACTTGGAAGCATTTGAAGAGAACAGGCTCCAGCCCGATGCCAATGTGGTCAGCGTGGAGTCTATCAGCTCCTGAGATTGTGTTTTCGGTGGTGGTTCCCGTGTAAACCCAAATCCGGCATATTTGCCGCCCTGATTTGGTGGCAAGTTTCTGTGAATATTTGGCCAAGTTTACAACGCATCAGTCATATAAAAAGTGCACAAATAATATACTCTGGACGCGAAGCGTTCTCCATTTGGCGACGGCTAAAGAACTCTTCCTTCTGATCTTTGAACTCCTGTGTCTGGAACTGCTGGTAGCCGCCAGTCTCGTTATAGGCGCCACCTCCATTTTGATAGCCTCCAACGGTGCCGCTGCCACCATAACCTGTTGCGTTAGCGCGGGTCTGCGTAGTGCTACTGGAGCTGGAAGTATAGCTGCTGGAGCTATACGAACTGTTGCTATTCAAGCGCGCTTCGGCGTCCTTTTGATTCCAGCTTTTGCCCTGGGCCAGCGTTGATATCTTGTCGCGATACAAAGCTGCTGCTTTGGAATTGTATCTCTGCGTTATGGGCGCACGCTCGTTCCAATCCTCCTGATCTTCTAGAAATTCACGAGCATTGCGATTACCGCCGACTTTCATCTTCTCCAGCTCAATGTCCTTCCATTTATCCATTGTTACGGAGCGAACGAACGACAGGTGAACGCCCAGGCTGCGGTGCTTGCCAGAACACTCCAGACATATCCAAATGCCGTAGGTAACGGACACCCACTGAGGATTGTGGGTGCCACACTCGAAACATTTCTATGAATCAATTATCAAACAGTTAGGACACGTATTTGCCCAAGTTTTTTCAATGTCTTCTCTATGCGACTTGCGTGTTTTTTTACACACATGTGTGTGTGCCTTAACCTTACCGAATTCTCGTCCTGAGGTTTCAGCTCTTGCAGCACTCGACGTGTTCTGGGGCTAGCCATGGTGACAATTAACAACCGTCTTTAAACTGATTTTCACACTGCGCTGCCTTCACAGTTGATATCAAACTTTTTGCTGACGTTGGCGTTGGTTGCAATCGTTGAATTATGAAAATGCGACATTCATGTAAATTGAAACTACGGGGGCTAATGCTGATTTGTTGCACTTAAATTAACACATTTAATGAATTTGTGCATTTGTTTCCTCAACCTTAACTGCAGTCATAAAAGTTAATTGCCAAAAAAAAAAAACTGTTTAACACAGAGTTCCACTTGGAATGCTCGTAGTAAGTGTGACCGTGCCAAGAAATGCAATGGTTTCGCCGAAATGAACCAATTTCGGTTTTTTTTAATACCAGCAACGGGTGGACCAATTTAAAACTGACTACAATTTAGCTGAAATAATAAAATGTATATTGCTTATAATATCAATATATATAATAATTAAAAGTGTTAAGCTTTGTTGACGTGTTAGATAGACCAAAACTAATACCAAAATACCAACTACAAAAAGCATTCGGTCGCACTGCTTTTAATACAAGTTCGCATTTCAGTTAGGATGCTCACCAGTGCTGCCAGTTTAAATATTTTCTATATCAATTTAGTCTTTTTCATAGGTCGCCAGCCGAAAACCTTAGAAATGTTATGCTAATGTAGCTGTTAACTAATATTGCAATAAGAAGTGCACATTTGAAAACCCGTATATAGCAATTCGTGCTCAGAAATCTTATTTATCTATTTAATGTGTGTATATAATCCGATTCAGCTGGTTTGCTGAAATGACGCTTGGCAGCACTGGTGTTCACTTGTCGTTGCAGCTACGCACACTTGCAAGCTTGCTATACCGACAGAGCGTTGCACAGCACAGCGTTGCAACTCTACACAATCAGCTGTTGTTGTTTATATTTTGGTTGCTTAATAGCAGATTTGCTAATTTGAGAAATATGCCAGTTAAGAGCTTTCAAGAGACGCTCTTTTAACTTAAATTCTACTTAAGTCCACCAAACCTCAATTAAAAAATCTAACAATTATAGTTTCTTTATGCATCTCTAGCTTTGCAGCTTTGCACTGCTTTTCGTAGTCAAGGGTCTGGGTTTAGCAGCGTTGCAATAAATTGTTCGCGGCAAGTTGTTGTTGCAAGTTATTGCAATTTTGCAAAGCTGCAACGCCAAGTTAGCACCCAAAGTGTTATATTTTTAATACATTAGTGCTTAGCCTAAGGCAGCGGCTGATTTACGGCATCAACAAGCAAAAGTAGGTTAAATAGTTATTGTTTCATAAAATAAACCAGTTTTTATTTGTTTCATTGCAGTGGAAGGTAAATTGAATCCGAAGCGCAAACGGGAGATTGAGCCAAAGAAGTGGTCGGAGAGGGAAGTCAATGATATTTTGAATTATATGCGAGTGCACAGTAATATTGAGGTTAGAAATGGCGCGCATTTTAAGTTCTATTCATAATAATATGCTTATGACATACAGAAACCAACTGCCCAAATCTACTATAGAAAACTGATAGACGAGACCAAGTTAGACGCGACCTGGAACTTGGTTCGTTTTAAAGTTCGCCATCTAAAGGGCGGCTGGCAAAAGGCAGATGCGCACAGAAAGTCTATTGTGGCTGGAGGCGAGGAAAGCGACAAGATCGATGAAACAACCTTACAAGGTATTGTTGCAGATTCTTAAAGTGAGACAATAAGTGCATTAACTATTTACAGCAAAATTGTTAAGGATGTGCCCCCACTACGAACAACTGAGTGACATTTTTTCGGTCCGCAAGCAAATGGAGATGGTTGTGCGTGACTCTCAGGGATCTTGGAGCAGTCTCGACATGTCGCATTGCGAGGACGAGTCGACAACCGATCCCCCGATCACATCTGGGATCGGTGACTTATCGCAGCATCAATGGATGCAAACGGAAGAAAGTTTCATGAAGATCGCCTTTGGGTTGAGAGGGAGACGCTCAAATTGCACCAGGAACAGTTTTTATGGGCCAAAGAAGTGGAGGAACGCAAGTTGAGATTAGAGGAACAAAAGTTTAAATTAGAGGAACGCCGAATCGCATTGGAAGAGCAGCGCCGAGAAGATGATTTTCAATTAAAACAGCTAGAACTTGAACTAAAACATAAATTACAACAATAAATCAAATACTTGTTATTCAGCCTAAAACTTTTCCTTGAGGATACCAAAACCTTTCTCAGCTTGACGCAATATTTTCTTATATTTTTCGCATATTAAAATAATATTATTAAATGGAACATTTAGGTACAATATTAATAAATGTGGACAATATACATCTTTTGAAAAACTATTTAATTTGAATAAATGCTCTTCCAGATTTCCAGTTACCATATCCAAGGATTTCTTTATGGACAGGCCTTATGGTTCTGGTTATATGAAAAAATCAATTACATATGGTATATATCTATACTGTAGTTGAAATCAATTTGAAACTGGATCAAGTTTTGCATACCTTTTCCCCGAGTACTCGAACAAATTTAATTAATTATTGTTGAATTTTGGTATTCGTAAAGGTTGTGTTATCGATGAGGCGTCTTACAAATTATAACTAATCATGCTGATCTGATTTTCATTTTAATTTCATTCATGTTCTTCCGACCAATTCGGCAGCGTCATGCCGAAAGTTAATAAAAACAGAGATTTATCACACTCCTAACAGTAATCAACAACAATTCCACTGTCGGTCGCTGGAAGACAAGACTGTGGAATTACCTGAGCGATTCCCATACAAAGGGGCCGCGTGTGGTCCCGGAGTTGGAGTCCCAGCGGCTGTGGCGCCGGGAGCGTCAATTTCCTCCGGCATTAGACACAGATACTTAGAGCAGAGGTAGAGGAGAGGGGGGGGGGGGGGAGATGCTCACATACCAATGTACACATGTATGTAGGAGCATGTGGAGGGCAATAATTCAATGTGAACATTAGCATATAATTATGCACAATATTTTTGCAATTCACAGAGATGGGAATCTGTGGGGCAGCAAGTGGAGCCGCGCCCAAGCAATCGATGGCTGCACTGCCCAACGTTAATTTCTTTTCAATTTTGAAACTCGCGCATTTATTTAAGTCAGCGCATTGCTATAATTTGCGTCACAATGTCGCACGCCCCCTGTTCCCGGCGCAAACGATTCACGATGGGCGTGGCTGTGGCCGCGGCCGTGGCTCCGGCTGCGCGTATAATTGGGCAGGCAAACCAAAGGATGTGTTGAATTGAAATGCCTGCCGGGTAATCCGATCGACCGAACACCGTCCGCCGCTGAGTTATGACGCATGCCCGCTAAGTGAGCCCGGCTCTTGGCCAGCTTTTGGCCAGCTCTTGGCCTGGGCTCGCTGGGCACTCGACGCTTTCAACAACTACTGCTGCTGCAGTGGTGCCTGGTGGTGGTCTTATCAGAAGCCGTTGCGCACTGCCCGAGCTGCCAAAAATGGCATTGCTGCGCATCCATTATCCGCGCTCTGTCACTGTGCGTCTGGTGTGTATGGTGGTGCCCACCACCAGCGCCACTGGGCATTTTGCACCCAGCTCTGAGTTATAGTGTGGATATGATCAAATTATAGGCTTAGCATTGCATTAAATTCGCATAGACATCCGATGGGGGCTCTGTGCCCGGCTGGCTAACTGCCCTGGCTGAGCATGTGCGGCGCATGTTGCGTTGAGTCGAGTCGAATCGAGTCGAGTCGAGCCGAGTCTGGCATCCGGTCAAATTGGAATCCATACTTCATTCCGGAACACTGCTAATCAGCAGCTGTCGCTATGTTCCATGCAACCATCTATAGAGCACGCACACACACACACACGCACACACACAGACACACATACACACAGCGTGGAGCAACACGAATGGTATGTAAATGAGGTGCGTCCAGTTCGCACGCTGCTGCCACAAAGTCTGCGCAGGCGCAGTGTGATCTTCCTAAAACAAAAAAAAAATAAAATAAAACACATGCAAATACAATAAAATCGTTGAAAATTGCACCAATTAAGTGGCCAATGTGTTTGTCGAGGATGCGCGGGGATGCTGGGGAGTGCGGATCCTGGGGGCATTGCTTCGCATTTATCAGCGATATTAAAGCGTTAAGTGAATTACTTATTCTCTATAGGCCGCTGCAAAGCAAAGCCAATGCGTTACCTTTCATGTCTACCTGTCCCGGGCGATTCCGTGTCGCTTCTCGCTGCTCCACTCCGCTCCGCTCCGCTCCTCTCTGCTCTGCATCGTGCTAAAGTATAAATGTGTGCGATAGCCGCGATGTTGCATGCGACAATTATATGCGCTGAGCGACGCCAGTTTGGCTCCCGCTTCCCATGGCCAATACGGGCGTAGATGGGGGCATTTGAAGCTGCCGCAGACTCAAGCCTGATATTTACACTTACAGCAACAGTCACAGGGACAGGGACAGCCAAAGGGACAGGCACAGGCACAGGCAGCTACCATTTCCATTTTCATTGCCGCCTTTGCCGATCGTTGCTGATCGATTTTCAATCGATCGCCAGCATCATGCAACCGCGCACAGCCCCAGCCTCTGGTCTGCGAAACGCAGACGCAGACGACGACGACGACGACGATTCAGCGTCAGCTCCTTAGTTCAACAAATCGTGCCAAATAACACAACATAATGACAACAAAGCCGACGACAGGAGCAAAGACGACGTCCTCCACTTGTCTGGTTAGCTGGCTCTGCAACTGCGACTGGCACTGGGACTGCGACCAAGTCTGAGACAGTCGGTGATTGCCATTTCAAGATTTTGCCACTCATACATACACATAAGCACACACACACACACACACAGCAGCAAAGTGTGGGGATCGCAAAAATTAAGAGATATTTATAATAAGCACGAAAACCACTTAATACTAACGCCTTTGGCAATTAAGAGCCACAGCTATGGCAGGGATGCTGCTAACAGAGACATTCCAATGTTCGACAGCCCAGTTGGGTTACTTTCCATGCTAACACAACGAACAACAAACACATACACACACACATACGCACACACGCACACAGATTCTTGCCAGATGGAAATCTGTGCTTTGATGACATGCTCATTGGTGACGTCTTCGCTGACATGTCATGAGCTTACATGACGACTTCGGTGACATGTCATCGGCTGTGTCTAGTCTATTGACATACTCGATGACATGTCATCAGTCTGGTCTTGTAACATAATCAAACCGGTTCGAGAACGGAATTAATATTAACTTAATCGAAACCCAAACTGGAACAAATACTTTCAAGGGAGACTCAAATGCAAAGCCCCAATTTAGCCCGCATCTTGTATATGAAAATACTTAGGCTTGCAATATTTTCAGTGCAACGGGCAATTTTACAGTAAAATTGTTATTTGTTCAACATTTTTAGGTATATGAACCAAAATCTGGTTTGAAGGATTTAAAAACCCAACCTGAAAGCAGGACTTTGCTTTGAGCCGTGAACTGAACCACCATTATAGAAACTACTTAAAAGGAAAAGCTCGAAGATACCTTTGTTGACATGTCTTGCAGCGTGTCCTGCAAGACGAGTCGCATGACAGGTCCACAGAAATTAGCATTCCTGTGGGACATCTCCATCTCTAACTATTTGTTACTGATATGTAGCGCAGATTTCGCTGGTGTTGCAGCTCCAACTAGGCCATGTCAGCAGCCACTGTAGTCGCACCCTTTGTAGTTGAACCATTACAGAAATGAATATGTAGATTTTGTGTACTTGGAAGCACAATGCTTTTCAGCGACTCATCAAAAGCCGCAGGTATGTAAATTTCATGGGTTTAATTGTTTTCATTCTCTGCAGAGGTTTCTTTCTTTAATTTCTTTCACGGCGGACTCGCGCTGAGCTGGTGAAGTTGACGCCTTCGGTGGCTCATTACAATCAATAATAGCAGCTGGCGCTGGGGTTCAATTGATTCCTTCAATATCGACGCAGTCGGACAGTAAATGAAATGAAGTGAAATGAATAACTGTTTCGAGTTGCCCAGGCCTGAGTCGGAGCCAGAGGCAGTTGCCAAGCCAGAGCTGTGGCTCGCTTAAGCGAACGATTATACAAGTGGTTTTCTGATTTGACAGGCGTTAAATTAAAATTTAATTCGGCCATCTATATAATTATAGTGATCCATCCGAGCATACACATTGACGACGACAACGAGGACGCTGACGTCGACGACTTCTCAGCGCATGTAATTAAAGCCACATTAATCATCCAGGCCCAGGCCCAGGCCCAGGCCCTGGCCCTGGCCCAGGCCCAAGACCGGCCACATTCGCAGCCACTTGAGCCTGACTCTGAGCCTCTGTATTTGTGTTTGTATTCGTATCTGTGGCTCTTCGTCTTGGTAGCCACAAAATTGTCAGATTTGTCCACTTGAGTTATTTTTGAATGCGCGTCGAGCGGCCGCTCTTCTCCCGCATCGATGGGTGTCAACTCCGCTGAATTCCCGACCAATTATACGAAACCCGTGAGAATTTGTCGAATTCTTATATGTATTGTCTTATATAGGCATATATACATATGTATACATATATCGATTCCGTCTTTATTTGTACTCAGCACGTGTTTTGAATGCAAACTGAATAAATTAAGTTAAAAAAATTGCACTAAATTCTCGATTTAAAGCGATAGGAAACTGACAAATCCACAAACTTGCATCATTTTTTTTTGTTAGATATTTTCTAGTTTGGATTAGAATCTAGTTCTGGAAATACAGCATGTTGATTGCACTGTTTAATTAGCCTCCGACTCCGTTTCCGTCTCCGCATCCACATTGATCTCCTCATCCAGCTCCGATCGGGGCTCCTTCTGCGGCGCCGCCATATGCCGCCAGAGGTACTGCCGGGCAAAGTTCAGGGCGAAGGCGGCCGCCGACGCGGAGGCGGATGCGGATGCGGCGGGCAGGGCGGCACGAAAGGCGCTATGCTCACCGCCCATTAATAATGGAACTGATGCTGTGAGTGAGGCAGGCGGCGGCGCTGTTGCTGTCGCTGGATCGCGGCCTGGGGCCGTAGGGCTTATGCTGGTGCTGATGCTGATGGGGGTGGAGGTGTTGCCCTCGCCCGCCAGTGTCGTGTGGTAGACGCTGGAACGGGTAGCATACTGCAGACTGGAGACTGCCGCTGCAGCCGTGCTCTGCTCCTGCTGCTGTGGACCCAAGGCAGCCGCGGGCTGAGGCGATGTCGAGGCCGAGTCGCGCTGCTTCAGCTGATTGACCCGTTGATGGCGCCGCCATTTCGCTCGTCTG